CCGGATATACTTCATTTTTGTAACTTCAGGCTGCACTGCTGTTGCATTCATTGTCACCATTTTGAGACAGGGTCTGGATGTTTAGACAATCTTGTATTGTAATTGACTAATGCATATTTTATATTATCTGGATGCTACGGTATCGGATGTTTGGGTCCTTTTGTATGCATTATTGTGATTGGTTCCAGAACCTTGATAATGACCACAAATTCAAGAGCGTTCTCCCAAAAAAGTCTTACCAGGCATTTTTTGTGTGTTGAACTTTGATTCAAATGCTTCACAATTCTCAACAACCCCTGTGATTGTGATCAGAAGAAGAAAACATAAGGGAGAAACGGTGAAGGTATACTTAGGTGTACTCTAATGGTTACAAAATAAACTTGAAATTAATGCACTGAAATCAAACAAAATGACCTCATTGAGAGAACTTCCAAGAAACAACACAATGAAATTAAAATACAAATCTTCAAACAAAAGGCAGAATTATGAAAAAAAGATATGCTTGAGTGATTTCAAGCTCAATCATTACTGTAGAACAAGAAACATTCCCACAAGTCTTTGATGTTAACTTTGTATAGCAGGCAGACATTTTCAAAGGCAATTATTTTAATCCACCAAAGTTTGTAAGCTTTATAGGTCAAAGATTTTGTTAGCCAGAGCAGCTGAGGCCCAAAAGCAAAGTTATTCAGCCCAAACCCCACAGCTAACTTGGCTAAGAGCAAATGCCCCTGCTCACATTCTTTCCAGACAATGAACTTGATGTTTTTGTCATAGGTTTGTGCTTTGTTTCATGCTTTGAAGTGATTGAATGTCTTTGGGTTGGGTGGGGAGGGATTTGGATGCGGGAGTCTTGGTGGTGCCTTGTGAATGCTGAAAAGCGGCAAATAAAGTGTTCTGTTCATTCATTCATTCATTAACTTGATTTTGTGCAGTTTTCACAGTACAAGGCTACACGCTTCCCAAAAACTGTTCATTCATTCATTCATGAACTTGATTTTGTGAAGTTTGTTCATACAGTACTTGTAATTATGGACAGGGATCCAGCATTCCAGCTTACAAAGTGTTGTGCAGGAAAAATTCAAAAAATATGGCTGAAGAAAAAAACGACTGCATTGAATTGGTCAATCCAAGTTTTCAAGAATCCAGCCGACAGAAATTGTGCTGGAAAGCTTTTGTTTTCTTACCCAAGAGCCCCCAGGTGTCTGTAGCCACAAAAACTAAGGAAAGGAACATACCCGCGTCTACATGTAAACAAATTGTAAGCCAAGAAGAATGAAAGTCAATACAAAATATGGAAACCTAGAAAGAATGAAAAACAATTTTTGGGAAGCGTGTAGCCTTGTACTGTGAAGCTCTACAAGGACTACATCAGCATCATATGTATGCGTCTTTCGTGCACTTGCTGGATATTCCATGATCAGATCCGAAACAATCTCCATTATTTTGTAAACAGTCGGGATTACAAAAGAAATTGTTTTATGGAGCATATTGCGAAGATCATGCATAGCATTCTGATTTTAGTGCTTGAATATTTACGCCACTGTACATTGAGCAGAAAATGTAAGCAGCATGACGTACTATATTTGAATCGGGAAAGATACAAGTTCTTACTAAAGTGTAAGCAAGCAATGTAAACTTGATAGGAACTAAAGTGAGGCCTTTGGCATATGATCAGACTCCTGTGTTCCTTTTTTTCCCCCAGGAGGAAATACGTTTTATTTGAATGTTTCTTTCCTTCTGGACGCTGAGTTCAAATGCTCGTCCTTTTTTCCCCCGGCGAAGAAACCCCTAGCTTAAATGAAAAGATATTTTTAAGGACATCTCCTGGTTCAGTGGAAAATAAAATGCAGACCCACTTGTGAATACAGCGGGTCCCAATATACGGAAACCCTCACATTCTGATAATTCGACTTAAACGCATTTAAAACTTGAAAAAAACTGCCCAGCGTTTCCAGACAACATATCTAGACAAATCGGGAAATGCCATTTTTCAAAATTTTGATATCTCCCAAACAACTCACATTTAAAAAACTTCCAAATTCAAAAAATTGAGTTTATTCTGCATCCATCATAATTCATTATCCAAAACAGGCTAATTTTTTGCTTCTTTCAGAGTTCTTTCCATCATCTGTGCACAGTATAGGATGACTTGTGGTTGTCCTTTGCTTTTTGGGCTCCTTTCCATGCCAAAAGATCAGATTATGCATGGTTTTATTTTGTACACATTTTTTTGCACCATGGATGCTCAGAAATTTTCTTTTAAATGTGTTTGGGGGACTTTTTCTCAATTTTTTATTGTCAGATGCACCAATTACTATTGAACCTTGATAACCCAAACCACCCAAAGTCAAATACAGTACCTCCCTATATAAGTCAAATTCTTTTGCAAGACCTCTTTGGACTTCCCTTTGAAACAATGCATTGAAAACCTCTTTAACTCAAAGGCTTTTCCACTCAAACCTCCAGAACTCAAATTTTCTAAGGCCTTTTGGCTATTTTGTTATTGACATAAGAAATATAGAAAAGCAACTTTAAAAAGTATAACATAATTGGTGTGTTTTGAAGAAAGTGAAAGGCTAATTTGGCAAATGAACCCCTGCCTCCATGCAAGTTCAGCATGCCATACACTCATTTAAGAAGCAATTTAAGGCCCAGAATATCACCATTAACAACTTCCTACAATTCTTCTATGGTTCCCACAATAAAAATGATAGCTTCCTTAAAGTAAGCCTCTCCAACTCAAAGCCCTAATATGTGTACAACCTGGGTAAGTCAAATTTTTTTGCTGATGGTCCCTTTAAATTTGAATTGAAGAGGTTCAAATGTAAACGTGTTCCCATTATTGAAGTTGGAGAGGGAAAACATAATCCAACATGTGGATATTCTGACACATATGGCCAAGGTCCATCAAGCACCAATTATGTCTGCATATTGATCGAGGTCCCACCGTACTTGATTTATTTTTCTGTGGAGAGAAAGTCATCGAGCCAATCAATCATCCATTCATTCATTGCAATCTGACTTATGAGAGCTATCAGGAATTTAAGTTGCATTGCTCATCAGCAGCCTGTCGGGGTTTACCGCCGAGAGCGAATCGATGAGCAACTTTAACCATCATATTGCTTTCTTCCGATGAGACATTGAGAACCTTGGGTCTCCAAAACACTGTCGGGGTTTTCTGGAGTGGGTACTACATGTATGCATAGCTGCTGCGTGGAGGCTTTAGAGCCGGAGGCGTTGTGAAGAACTCTCGCTGTCCAGCTGGAGGAAAAGGCCGTGGCTTGCGCAATCCGTGTATCCACCGAGAATACCAAAAGGCCCTAACGTTCCCTGACCGACCGACGCTTAATTGTGAAATATGTGGCACGAGGGACTCTGGAAGAATAAAAAACGAATCACGGCCTCGGGATGCGACGTGTAGTACGCAGCAGTACTTGGCTTTGTGTCAAGGTCCCCAGTTTCTTCCTCCTGGCTGACGATAGGCTCTGTGCAGCGGAGAACACGGTATCTCTTTCCGACATGTCTGCCGTCATTACTCTATCCGCGTTACGCGAACGGCGCTCTTGCGGATCGCGGATGGCGGTTCCGCAACGGGCTTAATAACATGAACGTAGGAAATTGATATCTTATAAATATTCAAGTTACACTGGAAATGAATAAATTTGTGCGGAACGGGGACATATATACCAGTACAGTGGGTCCCCGTATAATGAATATATGAACCTTTCCTAAATGATGGATATGTTTTGTTATGCATCTGGAATTTTCGTAAATCAAAAAACATCTTTTCGCTGAAGATAAAAATATTTTGTTAGTGTTCTCACTTGTTCCAAACAATCACCGAAAGACCATGATAACTTTCAAAATTTGAAAATGGTTAAGCGTAGAATTGTGAATTTAAAATTGATTTGTAGGACATGGAAGTACAATACTGTATCCATGGAAACTTCTCGCTCTTGCCTTTCTGAATTTTCAAAAATTTCAAATATGTGAAAGTGTGACGCCATTTTTCCTCATTTCCTGCTTTTTTGTGTGAAAAATTCGTTCAAGTTCGATATAAAATTTAAAAAATGCAAACATTTTTGACCAACACTTTTCATGCGAAGAAGTATGTGAAAAATTCGTTCAAGTTCGATATAAAATTTAAAAAATGCAAACATTTTTGACCAACACTTTTCATGCGAAGAAGTATTTCAGTTATATGAGTCACTTTTCCCCTAGGAATTTAGGTCCTGTAAATTTTTTTTATTGCTGCTGCACAGGTATTTGTTATTGTTTGCTGCCACCAGGGAACAGACTGCCACGGAACTTCCCTCCGCGGATGTTCACCGCTCCCGAGAACTGCGAGTAGAACATTTCTACCATAGAGGGCAGCAGAGAATAACAAATGGCCGCGCGCCGTGGACCAACATTAAGGTTTTCGGGTGGGATAGTCCGTCAGCACCCATGCAAGCTTACGAACTAGCTGATGGGAACTAGCTGCTCTTTATTGAAGCTGTGTTAGCTATACGTCGTAAACTTCTATTTATTTTTCTCATGAAAATTCTGCATCTCAAAATATAGGTGTACAGTAGAGTACACTACTCCCCTTGACTCGATGGTGGTTTGCGTTTTCTGGAATTCCTACGATTCATAATTGTACATGACCTGCTATCTCCATCAGTTGATGGCAGAAAGTTTCTCTGAAATTAATACTTTGTGAAATTATTTATCCATACCCTCAATGTCTTGAGAAGCGTGAGTTACCATGTCTTCTGTGCGTAAGTTTGCTCAATGTGGAACATAAGATACTTCAGGAAATGCATCTTCTGCTTTGCAATTAAGCTGTAGAGGAAAAACTGATGTTATGAAGTTCTCTGCTAGAATGTCGAAAGATTCACCCTTCAAAGTTGATCAGTTTCCAAGATCAGAAGGTCTCAGTTCCACCTTGACTAGTTCCAACTTCCACTCAATGAAGTCAGTTCTACAGTTCTACTCATGCTGAGACAAGATGCTTACAATAACTTGTGTATTTGGTAGGTTGCTTCCCGATTTGTAGTGAGAGTGTGTGTGTGAGTGGATCCGTGGCATGTCTTCAAAGATGCGCAAGTCTTCGCATCTGTTTGTCAAGGAATGGGAAGACGATTACAAAACTAGGCTGTTGGAAAGTCGGAAGAAAAAGCACGATGTTCGCCAACTTGCCACCGAATGCAACGAACTAGCTGCTCTTCATGTCAAAGTCCAGGAGCAATCCGCTCGCAACTTAGAAGTAAAATTAGGTGAAGTATTTCTTCTGAGTCATTGTCCCTGAATGTTTCATGACCTGTAATCGCATTTGTTGAACAGAGGAACGATTGCATGAACTTGAGTTCTGGAGACAGGAGCTCGATGTTGCTGTGGAACAGTTGCAACTTGGGACCAAAGTTCTGGAAGATGTTATTCCAATGCTTTTTGCCGAAGTTCGGAAATGCGAGGATCAACGCGCCCTTGCTTTATACCGTCAGAAACTGAGGTGTGTCAGATAATCGGATGGGTTTGATTCTCGCATTGACTTGAGATCAATACCGGGACCACTGTATGTTCAATCGCGGATATTCCTTTCCGGGGATTGAAACTTCATGGAATTTTTAAATTTTGTTTTGCCTCGTAGAGGCTGACGAGAGTAGTTCTGCAAGCATTATTTTTATTTTGAATAACTTAATCATTTGCTGATTGTATTTCTCTTACTGTGTCATATATTGCATATAATTGCACTGACGCACCGTAAAGTGTTTCATCTGTCAGAGAGCCTGCATCTCGCTTCGTTTTTAGGCTTAGGTTTTTCTGCCATTTGGAGAGCCTCATGCTTTTTTTGATGTCATGGCAATCAAACCCTGCCATCTGAGCATTTTTATATCCAGGAGTATACTGTTATGGTCAGGCGCATGAATGGGAAGCCCTTTTTTCCAGCATTACTTTTGCAGGATTTACAGTTGAGAGCTTGGATCATGAAAGAAGAAAAATATCAGTTCATTGCATTTTACTCAGTTGAGTTGAAGAAATGTGTCTGTCTCTGTGAAATGGATTGGTGACTTACAAAGTATTCAAGATTGAAAGGATACAATGGATTATACGCTAACTTCAGAACCAGTCGTATCTTGAGCATTTTTAAGGAAAATCAGGATTTTAGCGCTGTTACCTGTAGGCTCAGCATTGTGTGAGGATTCAAGTAATTGAATTTTGCGCTGACCTGGTATTCCAAAGGTTGTGTTGTATCAAAGCAGATGTGCGCTTCTACGAATATGAGACACAACCTGATATTTTTTAGAAAATTTTAACGGATGAAGGCATATTTTTATATATGAGTGCCGCGCAGTGACCGTTGCTTCAAGTAGAGAAATCGCCGCTGTTATGCCAGAAGAATAGGGATTGCACGTCAGATGTTTCTTGTCCTTGAAATTTGTGTACAGTATTCTTATCGGCCGAGCGACTGAAATGATGAAAAATTGGGGCCTGATCTTCCGAGATTTCAATGGAATATTCCAAGCAGACTCAATTCAAAAGCTCATTACAATGGCACCTTTGCAACAAATGCTTAAGTCAAATAAATGTTTTTCAAGGAGGAGTGTTTGTTTCTTGCAATGGCGATGCTTTTCTTTTCTGAATTCTACGAATATTTGAAGGAATTCATCGACAGAAGATCGTATCTGATTGAATGAAGTTGAATTTTATTATTTGTGACCTAGATTAGGCACATCGGGTATGAGGCTCTAATATAGTTGTATACAGTATGGACATACTGTATTGGAATAGAGTTAGACCCTGTTTACAAAGGTTTTCTTTTTATGATGAATTTATTCTTTTCCCAAGGATTAGTACAGAAGATTTTGATTTATTTGCTGGCAAAATTTTGTCAATATTATTGAGAGAAACGGTTTTTTTGGCTATTTTTCAGGATGTATGCAACACACGCTTCTTACTGATTTTTCTCGGTATTGGCGATGATTTTATCTAGTGCAAAATAGCCTTATTTCAGTTTCTTCATGGTTATTTTCATTTTTTGCAATTTTTCTGAATACAGGTTGACTCTATGAAGACCTTGTCCACAACAATTTTCTCATTACAGTATAACATTTTTTGGTGTCACATAGGGTCTTCTCTCCATATAATAAGGTTCTCTACAAGAAAATTCTTTTAAACAAATATTTTTTGGTCTTCGAGTCTATCGGTGAAGACGAGTCCACGTGTATCAAGGCTAATTGGCTTTGTCTGCTCAAACAGCGGCGTATTTCCTATAAATACAATAATGTCGCAGTAAATGGAGGATCTCTTTTGTTCACAGATGCCATGATACTGTGGCATTGCATCAGAAGTGAGACCGTGATGCTTCTGTGGAAAAGTTGCACAGTTTGCTTGTGTAGCCGTTGATTGCTAGAAATCACTCCGTAGCCCACGTATGTTGATTTTTATTGCTTGAAGTTTTGATGAGAACCGAAAATGAGAAGCACGTTAGATGTTCAATTTGTGACCTTTTCAGATCAGAGAGACCTACCACAGAGAATGTTCTTGATGACCCAAGATCTGCCTTGATGGTTGAATTTGATCTTGCGGATGCTGAAGTACGCAATTTGAAGTTCGCAGTTTCTGAGGTGAGATATGTTTCTTAATTGTGTGTGAGATGTGATCAGAAAATACATATTACAGCAAATGTTACTACAGTACACAGATTGTAGAGGATGGGCATGGAAGCAATTTTTTTTAGAAGTGGACGAGAGAAAACTTTATGATGTATGGCAAGTTTCAGCTTGTTAAATCCTTCCATAATTTAACCTCGAAGACTCAAACGTCCCACTTTAAAATTTTTTCAAGTCTTCGTCAGAATTCCCTTAGAAGCAATGCATTAAAAAACCTTCCCAACTCAAAGGTTTTCCTCCTTGAATCTTGTACCTCAAATTTTCTGCAAACTTTTTGAATAACATTTTTTGACATAGGAAAGAGAAAAGCGACAGAAATGTGACTTGATGTGTTTGAAAGGAAGGGAAAGACTTATTGGGCTGATAAAGCCTTGCTTCCAAGTTCAGCATCTAGTCAACTCATTCAAAGAACAATGTAAGGCCCAGAAATATAGAAAATTCCAAATTTCAATTTTCTCATTTATTTTCCCAAACACAAATGCTTGTTTCCCTAACTTCAATTTTTTGAATGGTCCCTTGAAGTTAGACTTAAAGAGATTTGAATAGTCGTTTTTGAGCCTGTGGTATGCAAAAGTTTTGTTTTTTGTTGATCGCATTAATAATCAGTGACACAAGGTACAATTTTATGTATTATGAAAATGCCTTCTCAAATTGACTTGGAGATACTGTACTTCATTCCGGATTATATGAACAGAATGATATGCCTAGAAATTCATGCGTCTCTTTTGAAACTAAGCATTTCAATTAGTTTCTTGAGTGGTTTGCACAGGGCAGTTTCGGTCGAAGTTTCTTGATCCGAAGTGGTGTTCTGATTTATTCATTCATTCCTTCACTCATTTGCAGTCGCAGGAGAAAATCAGGATGGGTAAGAAACTTGCCTACCTTGTTGACAAACTGCTTGCAACGAGACAAGAAACTGAAAATGTGGACAAGCTTTGCAAAGAACTGCGTACAGATTCCTCTGCTCTGGCTGCCTTGAACTCTCACGGAGAATTCGAATCGTAGGTTTGGCGCCTTTGCGTTTGATAGAATGTGAATGTTGAAGAGTGGGTATTTTTTCAGGTTGCTCTCGACAAGATCGTGGATAGTGTGGAACCAATCTCTGGCAGAAGCTGCCAAAAGACATGCTCAGCTTTTGAGATTGATGAAAGACCACTGGTTGGCAGAAATTGCGAGAATTGGGGAAGCTCGTCGATCTGCGCTACGTGACACTGAGCTGTTTCTTGATGCCAGAATTAAGGAGATTCGTGTTGCCAAAGATCAGATTATGACGGAGCATTCCCAGGTTTGTAGTGACCGACAAAAGTATTACGTTCAGAAATGTGTTGTGGATTGCATCGGCATCCAAGAGTAAAAAGTGGCTAGAAACATTTTGGAACACCTTTCCGAACAATTATGAAAGAAATTTGAGCGTTTGAAAACTAAACTTTCATTCCAGTGTCAGTTCAGTTCAATTATCTTTTTAAGTACTGTACAGTACTGTATTATTGAAAAAATTATTTCATACTTGAAGCAGCAAACTTTTGATAACTGTGAATAATCAATCTCAAAGTAGCTTAGAGTTTTCAACTGGTTTTATGTTTTTATTTATATTTTTTAAGTCTATGGAAATCGTATTCGTATTGAATGCCATTGCATAATATATGATTTTTTTAAATTGCAATAATATTTTCAACAAATTAGGTCAAGGAAACAAAGCAAATTATCAATAATTACGTGTCAAAAATTTTCGTGTCAACTCATGGGAATAGAGCATCTTGATTTTAATGTGTGAAAAATTTGCCAATTTTTCTGCAGTCTTGTCCAAAAATTTGTTTTTGGTCCAATTTTTGTTGTCTCGACAGACTTTGATTGAGTCTGCATTTTTAGAACTATAGAACGAGCAATTTTATAATTTTAAAATCGAATTGGTCACAATTTTATTTAAACGCATCAGAAGAATGAGCCAATTTTGCTCCAGCCAACCTATGTATGTGCATAGGGGAAAAAATGGCACAAAGTATACAGCAGGCTCACTAGATTATAAATGCTGAATATTATGGATAATAATATTCAGGGAATGGAAACACATGAAGGTATGATTCAGTATGAAGCCAGATTCAGCTCTTCGACATTGGTACTGTACTTCTTAATTCGTTTTCAGTAGCCAAATTTTACGGAATATGATATTGTGAAATTTCTACAGCATCAGTGATACAATACAGTACTGTATTTAGCAATACAAAACAGGATGATTGAAAACCAATCGAACTGAATGCCCATTGATTATTAATGTCTTCATTAGTGTTTGAATCATGATTTGTTTGAAAACTGGTGCAGAAAAAATGTTCTGCCAGCCCACATGTTGGAAGTCAAATGGGTTTTTATCTGATGGAAAATGTTGGTTTCGTCTGGCGTCTTCTGAAGCCTTTGAATTAGATCTCAGCCTTCATTGCTCGAATATTTTCGAGAAGAATAAAGAGGCATAATTTTCCGTTATGAAGCTGATTTCTCACTGAAGCACCGTCTATGTGATGGAGGATTCTGTGTGAAGATTTCAGGGTGTGTGTGTTTGTGAAACTATTGTAAATAAATGTTCTCGAGGTTGAGTCCTTTCTACAAACTGCCCAATTATTCATGCAGTTGGTTGGAGAAGTGACCAGAGCCGAGCATGGCGCTGAAACCCTGAGGAAGTCCCTGGTGGATCTCGAGAAGATGAAGAAGCTTACTGTTGGTCGTTTAGCACTGCGATCCCATCGTCCGAGACATGAACTCACTCACGATGGCGTCCTTGATGCACTCAAAATTGAGCTGCTCCAAGTGAACTCCCTCATTGCCAAAGAGCAAGAACTGCTTGCCAAACACGAGCGAAAACTGTCGGGACTCCGTCAAGAGATTCAACTCCTGGAGGAACAGGTCAGAGACAAGGGAGACGCCTTGGCCATTGAGGAGAGTGTTCTTTTTGCTCCGCAGAGTCGCGTTTGATTTTTGTTGATCCATTTGTTCATTTGTTGAGTTTTAGTATTCGTTGTGATTGAGGTCCATATATGTTCAACTACTGCACCGTCCTGTGTTCCATGGAAATGAATCTTGTTGCAAATCGTGTCCATTCTTTGTCATTTAATCAGATTGTAATTTATTGTGCTTGGCAGGTCGTATTTTTCACATTTAATCTTTTGAAGTCGAGCGCGTGTCAGCCATTGATGAATTTCCATGCGGTTGAGGCCAGCAAGGTCGAAGTACAATCAAAACTGATCAGTCAGGTAAGTTGTGATTCCTGCTTCTATAGTTCAAGACTTGATTGAAGTTGAAAACTATTCATGCATTGCGTCAAAACTACTGTTGAGGCCTATCCAGTGTTCTTTCTCATTGTGAGAAAGACGGTATTCGTGCTGACATTTGGCGTGTGATGAACGATGGACTTAGGTTGACAACGAATGCAGTGTGGGAAAACTTGGCGAATTGGGTAAAGGTGGACTCTTTCTACAATGGTCTTGTCTAATAATTTTCTTTGCTTATTCAATCATTTGGTTTCTGTGGGTTGCCCGCCCACTACAAATTTTTTCTCATTCCTTGAATTTTGTCTGGATGGTGAGAGCATCCCTGTACGCAAAAAGAATCTGCCAAAAGACATCAGCTGTGTGGCATAAACATTTTTTTACATTGTGACTTTTACTCCATTATATTTAATATGCTACATTTATTGCGAATTCAAGTTTTCATTTTGTCATGAATATGAAGATATTATTGTTTCTCATGTATTAATTTGCTGTACATTAAATAAGCATCTCTTTGTTCAGCAGGTAACTGCAAAATTCATGTCAATGAAGGAAATAAATGAGTCTCAAATTATTATTGCATTTTCTGCTGCTGGAGCGTTTTTTTTTTTGTGGAAGACTAGAATATAAAGCTTAGCATGATTAACTTATACTCTATAAATTCTATTATGTCATGAAAACTCTTGCTTTCTGTCCTGCATTGTATCGTCAGAAATCAGCTCTGAAAAGCTCCATCAAGTTGACTTTTTGGACTTATTGATTGAGGAAATTATTGTGCCTTCACTCAAGCCTTGTAATGCATGAGATCAGAAGGATTCAGATCGATTGAAGGGATGAAGAAAGCTGATTTGAAATTTTGACTTTTCGAAACTTACAGGTGATTTTCATTCCTGGATTGAAGCCAAGGAATGTATTTCCGGTTGCTACCATGAAGGTGAATACTAAAATAAAGAATCTCGCTGTATTTACCGAAAGACGAGTTTACAGTATATGTTCAGAAATATAAGCAGCAAATTTTTTCGGATTTTCAGTGACCTTCGAAAGTTTCAGTAGATGACTCGAACGTGTTTTTCTTTCAGGATCTGAAGAGCATTTCCTCATTCCTTCAAAAAATCACCGTGAAAAATATTTCCGTGGAATCGCAGAAGGTCAGCAGATGGTTGACCATCGACATCCGTGAAATCGTCGTCAACTGCGGCGGGATCATCAGACTGTCGAACTTCCAAAGTGACAGGATGAAAATCCATTAAAAAAAAGTGTCAAGTCCGTTGATTTCAGGCATTTTATATTTCAGATGCGTTTTTCCGTCGGTTTGGAAAATACGTCAACGTGAAGCATGAGGGTTTCCAGAACCTTGAAATGCTGATTGAAGCCATTCCCGATTTAACGGTCTACAAAGACGTGATTTACATCATCAGTGTTGGAGCTGCTCCTGAGGCTAAAAAACGGTGTAGAAGTGGGCATGGCTTTTTAAACGAATTACTGTATATAAGATAACAATTTCGTTATATGACGAATCTCATTATTTTTAGAATTACGACGAAAATTTCTAAGGCCCCGGAATTGTCTTGTATGGGAACCATGTTCTAGAATTTTTGTTTCAATAAACGTATTTTAACCCGTAATCTCCATTCAATATATGATTCATATTTCGCACTGAATATGTGCATGGGTCTTAGGAATGTTTGGTAGAAATGTGGCAAAATCTAACTTGTGCAGATTTAGAAGTTGAACAGAAAATGAAAAAATATACTAAGTTAAAAATTATATTTAGTGTTTCAGAAAAGTTGCCAAAATGATATTCTTCTCAAAATTTTGCTAGCTTCATTTCAGACTTTAGAAATGACTCTTTTCTTTTAAGAGAACAGTACAGTATGTTGAAAAAAATATGGCTCTATTTCAGGTGAATGAATAAATGCTCTTCATGCACATTCAATGTACAATATTATTGTTAGCTTTTATTTTAGTAAGAGCGGGATAGGTTTTAGAACATTTTAAGCTGGGAAGGTATTTGTGAGAGAGGTGTACATTTTATAATTTGACTTTTTACTGAATAATTTGGAAAAAAGAGACCAGCTGGAAATTTTGAAAAAATTTGAAATAAATTTGTTCCAGAACCACTTATGAATATTCAACACCTGTTATTTAGTTTTGCGAAGTTTAATCTTCACTCTTCAGTGATGTCATAAAAATCACAAGTACAGTATTTCTATGACCAAATTCTCATGGTAACGATTTTTGTTATACAAGTCCGTGCGAGTTTTTTGTAACAAGATTGTAATTAATGAAACAATTTTTTTATTGTATCTGTGATGCTTGAGCCACGACGTGGACAATGCTGAAACTTGTCAACGCGTGGAAATGAAGTTCTTTGGGTGTCCATGTTTTTGAGTCTGAATTCTACAAAATTTTGCATTTTCTGGAGCAAAGATAAATAATTCTAAGGCAAACGATTCTTCATCTCTTGAAGATTTTAGCCGCTGTACTTCCTTTGAGGAAATGATTGTTCAAAAATTTAAATTTTGGAGTAACGTTCGCATTCAGCATTATCAGTATAACGAAAAAATCTCGAATTATTTTAGCTGCAGAAGAGACAATATAATGATGAAGAAGGTAGTGTTATAGCTCAAATTTCTAAAGGTTTAGTATTCCTGTACATGCTGTACCACTTTTCAATTGAAGGGCATCAACAGCAACCATCAAAAGGAGAAATTGAAAACGGTGGTTTCTTTTTAAATAAGGAAGCCGAGGAAGATATCGATTTAGTCATCAAACGATTAACGGTGAGCACTTTTTTATATTCATGGTTGATGTATGTATAGGTGTTCCCCAATATTTTAGTGTTGCTGTAAACACTGCTGCTAACTGTATAAATATCTTCCTCTGTATATATGAGTACAACCCTTTTGAACATTTCAAATTTTTTATTCAAATTTTTGGAGAAAATCTTTGTGGGGATAACATGGTCAACACATCTGGATGACCCAACCTCTTTTTCTCATTGTGTGGATCACCTTTTTAAAAAATTTTTATGGAAATATTGCTGAATGCCCATTGTCAAATTCTCTGTTGCGTTGCACACTTGTGCATGTTCACAGAAAAATAGACTTCATGGTTGCCCAAGTGGGGAAATTGGTGCACACTGGGGATATGCTTGTAATTCTACACAGTGACCCTGCTGTGCACCCAAAGTGTACCAAAGTTCTTCTGTTGCACATGGATATCCCTATAATGTGCACCAATTGTGTGTTCACACCAGGATTACTCAGGTCACATTTGTGACCAAATAAGTTACACACAGGTTACAGTTGGTGCATTTGTGTGATACTCCTGATATGTCACATTTTTGGACCAAGTGTAGCCCTGGAATGGTAGCAAAATTTCCTCTACAAGAGTGCACACTTGTAACCCCAGAATATCCCATATATATGCACCAGTTGTGACCCTGGTGTGCACCTACTGTGGGGTCACAGCAAAAATAGCTCCCCACTTGGGATGTATATGTACTGTCCTGTGGATGAGGGGTAATTTACAGTACTTAATATATCCTGATAAAGAAGAACAGAATGTCCTTTTGTACAACATTGCTGTATAGAATGTATTCATATGGGAGTGGAGCCACTCTGTACAAATTCAATCTCCTGCTGCTGAAGAACAAAAATGGATTTGTTTTTGCCAAATTAATGTTGTGAAACAGCTGTTTCAATGCAAAAAGTATCTCTGGGGGACTGGGGCTATTGAAAAATTCTTTGGAGATAATATTCTTGCATGGGCGTTTAATGGAACTCCATATGTCTTAAATTTGATGCAGAATATTTCATGATTTATTAATTATCTTCTGACTTCCAGAATACAGTACATGCATCAGCAACATACACAATTTTGGGTACTTTCCTGTTATCTCAGTACCTCCCAAAATCAGTTTCTGCTGATTCTGGGAGGTACTGAGGTACTCTTTGGGTTTTTGCCAAAACTGATTTTGGGAGGCAGTTAGGTAAAGTTAGGTTAGGTCAGGTTATTTTAGTTACAAATATCTTTCAATCAACATAACCTGACCTAACCTATCTTTACCTAACCGACTCCCAAAATCAGTTTCAGCAGGATGCAGAACCATGAAATTCACAGTTCCTGGTAGGTGCACGGAAAGTAGGTACTGAGATAACAGGAAAGTACCAAATTTTGTAACTGCATATTTCAATAAATGGGAAAATTCAGATTTTTCATTTGGTTTTCAGATCATGAATGATAGTGTCCCTGTGTATGCTGGTGCTGGTAACAGGATCATCATACTGTATACAGTCTGTGTTGCATAGTTGACCTCTGATGACTGTCGAAACCTTGCAGGAGATTATCAAGGTCGGTGTGCTGTTGACTGAGCGGCAAGTTGCCAACCGGTATTTCAAGCTGTACAAGTCTACTGTTCCTGGAGACTTCGTGGGTCTACTTCCTGCGCAAGTTGGGTCTTGTCGGGCCAGTGCTAACCCGAAAAATTGGATTGTTTGGCACAAAGGTCAGCAGACTTTTCTGCACATTACACTGATTACAGAGCTTCTCTGTAGAACAAATGACATATGAAATGAGGGCGCAATTTTTGTCTGAAGTATAAGTGACTCACGTAATGAATTTTTTCCGCAGAATGAAATTCTCGAGGCAAAAAAGTGCTTGAATTTGAGTAGCTTATTACCACTTCTACAATTTGTAAAACTTTAACCTTTTGCCAGTAATTGGGTATAAAGCAAAATTTTTTTACGAAATTGTTCATGTGATTGCCGCCACCCCTGATTATACTCTCAAAATTTACCCCAACCATAGATATTTTATGCACGAGACATTCAGCATTTTGAAAAGATGAGGGGATTGTCATGAGAAAGCAACATTCGAAGGGTATTTCTTTCGAAACCAATGTTATTCTATTGCAACAGTTCTGTTCACAATTTGTCTCAATTGTCTAATTGAAGATTTAGAGGGAGGATTAGTTCAAGTTTTTTTGTCAGAACCCAATTTATTTTTCTCAAAGAAATGTTGAGGGAATTTAAATTCACATAACAAAATAATTCTGGAACATATTACTCGTATTTTCACAATCCATCAGGGACCCACTGTAAGCTGAAATTACTGATGCAGCGAGGCATTGATTAAGATTTCTCAAGGGTTTTTCTTTGCTAAAGTACCGAATTTTGTCTATTTCTTTTGAACCAGCAGGTTTCATTTCCATATTTTTCTTATATATTTCACAAAACTCCTTGGAATCTTGAACAAGTAATGGGGTGCTTAATTTGAACGAACCATTTCCCTCTTTTTAGGCCGCAACGATAGAATTGACACTAATATACCGATAAATGGTTAAAAATATATCATGGAAATAATGATTTTTTCATTTGCTAATTGCTTTGCCATTTATTTTCATTTCGTGGTGATTTCCAGAAAAATTCCAAATGTGATGTGAAAATTGGAGAGCTGCCAGACAAACCAAATTTGGTTTCCTTCGTGGGTGAGTATTGTTTTTTGGAAAATTTATTGAAAAAGAAAGGAAAATGTATTTTCTCAGACATGACTCAGGAATTCATGTGATGCGTTCTTATGGGACTAATTCCACGATATTCCGCGAAATTCACAGGATGGAGTTTTTGGCGGAAACAGTGAGCTGATTGGTTTCAATCATTTGCCGACTGATTGCTGAGGAAGAGTTTTATTTCCGGCTTGGTTTCAATCATTTGCCGGCTGGTTGCTGTGAAACAGTTTTATTTCCGGCTAATTTCTGTGTTATGGAGCTGCTAACTACAGCAGTACTGTACAATATATTTATGGAAAAACCCTGGCACAGTTCTTAATCTGAGTCTTCATGCCTTTTGAATGCTTGTTGCTGATAATAGGTGACTGACATACAGATTTCCAGAGGTTAAATTTATCATATGTGAAAAAGGGCAATTACACAGCCCCTGAGCAGAAATTTAATTGAAAGAACCTATCCAACACAGGCAGAGAGGACCACAACAAAACATCTGTTTTGTTTCAATGCTGAAGTGAGACTTGTCTATTTTGATCTCATGCATCACAGGTAATGGAAACAGGTGATGAACACACCACACAATCATTGAATACAATTGTGCACAGTTTTAAAGTAGAAAAATTGCTGAAACAAATAAAATTGCAACAACGGCTGAAGGAAAAATTATCTGCATGTGGCGCAACTCCTAAGTTGTAAATTTACAAAGCTTATTTTACAAATTTGTGTAAATTTTACAAAGCTGTCACTTTTTAAGCTGAAAACATGGGTGGTCTTAGAATGAAGAGTGCAAAGTTTTCCATCTTCTTGAATATAGCATAAAAAGTGCTGCAACTGACCGTTTTGAAGCTAAATCAATTTATTTAAAACAAACTTTTCTTGGGTGATAAAAATCTCTAGCATTCCTCTGAGATATCTATCTTACTTCAGCTGATGATGATGAGGCAAAACAGTGAGTTCACAAAGGGCATTTGACTTTTTTAGGATTTACTATTCCGCAGACCGCAACAAATGCTCTTTTTTTCATTCAGAACCCATTCCAATATTAGGAATGAAACTCAGCGTTCAACTACAGTATATAGAAGAACCAACCCGTCAAAAATTGGCCTTCCCTGATTAAGTATATATACCCTGGAGCCCTGATGTACTAAAAGCCGTAATCCGGTCTACACGCAGACAAGGCCGTTCTGCGGGGAACATACACTTTTACGAAAGGTTTCTTTTTTCAACACCCTCCATCAAAACTGTTTTATGCAATCAATCAAAAATTAAGATGAATTCCAACTCTTTTCTAATCTGACGGTTTTGCGATTTATCCGCACATGTTCTAACTCTCATTCCTCATCTCGCGAAATTAATTATTCTCATCTTCTCTCATCAGTCATCACGCAGATTTTCTTCCACATTTTTTTATATTGACTTTTTTTAACATAACAATTTGAAAAGGAAAGATTTTCATATAAAACGGGAAAACTAAGGACTACACAAATAACATACAACTAATATTTTAATGCAGGAATTTCCCAATTTAACAAATATTTTTCATGATGGTCCCATCAGCTTCAGCTATATACAGTATAGACTTTCTTCATACAGGAACCATTTCAAAAATGTTGCTTCTAATGAGCTTATTTTTGCTTCATAATCTGAAAAAAGGTTTGCCCTGAATAGTTCATGGGTTGGATGAATTTACAAATTAGCAGGACAATGAGAAAATCTGACTTGTGAAACGTTATTAAAAGTTCACAGCATTAAAACAGTACACTGCTCACTTTATGCTGGCATTCCATAAAAGAAAAACGATTGGAGCTGGTAATAGAATCAGAGTTATCCTGATGAAGAGTTGGTTCAAATTGAAAAATGAATAATGAGTGATTAATTAAGTTCAGTACATGCTGTATAGAACAAGCAGTTGTACAGTGCATATCATGAAGGGTGGATGATGCTCTTATTCTTGCTGGAACTGGAGTCATCTCATGCACACTCACAGGGGAGGATGTTCGCAATCGCAACTTTGTGCAGTTCAGTAAATCCACGCTCATGCAATGTTTGCGAGTGACATGCGACGGCCTCCGCTGTGGCCCCAGGATAGGGTCGTTGCGTCCTATCGCCTTGTGGATCTTTGGGTATTTATTCCAAGCGGAAATCTGACAGGCAAATAACGTGGATGCGGTCAAGTTGGTCCGTGGAAACTCGTGATGTGAATTACCTTCGTTCTGAGAGGGTTTTCACTGCAAGTTGATCCGTTGGTGTGCCAGAAATCCATTGGAATCCGGAAGTCACGAATTGTGTTATGTGTATTGGACCGAACGTGTCGGAATCGTTCCTCCATTCGAACTGTGAGAATTTTAAATCCCCTCCGAAAATGCTCTCGTTTTGCCGTGCAAACGTGGAAACCTCACGTCATACCCAAGTCTGACCTGTAACAGTGAAAACCTTTTCGCCCAACTTGAAGAATTCGATGGGCGAGTTTATCATGATATCGGAGACGCAGTGCTTCTGAAGAGCGTTACCTTTCCGCCCTCTTAATGTCTAGTCTGTTTAGGCTATCGTCCCAGGGTATATAACCCAATTTTTCTTGAGAGCTTGTTAGTATCCATCGCGTCCATTCCCTAAGTGCTATGTTAATGGGGCCTGATGTATGGTTGATTCCAAGCGTGGAAAGCTTGTTTCATTCTGGGTCATACGCAGCTGATTCGGTGATCGGATGATTATCAGTGAGGAGTTCGAAGGATGCCTCCTTGCGAAGAGAGCGGTGATGCGCGCAGTTTCGGAAGGAGTGTAAAGAAGATTACTTTCCTTGGGTAATATGTGTTGTATTGGGACTGTGTGTGTTGGAAGCGTCGTTGTGATGGTGCCAGGATGGCTTAGTGGTGCATGTTTGATAATGAGAATCATCGTGGTGATCGCCATTCATAGGTTGACTATGTGAAGATGACCGAGGAAAGTTTCGCTTACGGTTCGGTGTCCCGCGAGGGAACGACAGCAGATCCGGAAAAGCCGCCGGAAGAGATCAGCGATGAATCGATTGTCGTTAAAATCGAAGCGATTCGTCAACATCGAGGCCACGTCCGAACCGGGAGCTCTGTGGAGGATCACGTGAGTGTGTTGAGGCGTGATTCTTGAAGACTCGATTGATGATGGTAGCTTCCTCTGCTTTTTTCCAGCCGCCGTTGTACGCCAAAGACAGCGCTTACTTGATTTCTGAACGGAGCCCGAGTCGACAACGTCAGCTTCTGGCAGAGAACTGCAATCTCGTCATCGTCGCAGTCACGCTTTGCTTTTTGGGAGTCGGTGGGTGAAATCGATTCGATTGGGGTTCCAAAAAGAAAAGGGCATTTCCTTTGAAGCAAAAGATACCTTGCATAATACCTCGCATGATAACGACTATTGATGATCCCCCACTGCTGATTATCAAGTGTCGTTCTTTTTTTTGTGATCTCGGTTCCATGTGATAACAAGTACCTTCGTCACTTCGAGTTTTGGTTAATCGTGTTTTTTATTTATTGCAGTAATTCTCGATTTACCGATTACATTTTTGAGTCACATTTATGTCCAGTATTTCAGATTCAACAGTGGAAGCTCCCCAAGTCAAATACCTACTTGAGTCGAATTTTTTCGAGTCTGTCTGAATCCGCTTAGAAATAGTGCATTAAAAGCCTCTCTTGAATAGAAGCCGTTCCCCTTCAAACCTTTGCAAGTCAGTTTTTCTGGTGGCCTTCTGGCTATTATTTTATGGACACAGGGAAGATAAAAGCGATAGAAGCGTAACTTGATGCATTATGAAAGGAATTGAAAGACGAAGTGGTCAAATATTCCCGTGCTTTCAACTTCATTATGCTGTTGACTCATTTAAGAGGTAATTCAAGGCGCAGAATATCATCAATAAAAATGTCCTATAAATCTTCATTTCCCCCCGACACAGATGCTTGTTTCCCTGTCTGGGAACCTCCCCAAGTCGGAATTTTTCATATTTGTTCCTTGAAATTCGACTTCAACGAAATCGGCTGTATTTCAGTTGTCTGAATTCTCGTGAGGAACGTGTGCGGTGGATTGCTAACAAAAATCGGGCAAATTTCAAATCTATTCTTCGAAAATTTGTTTTCTGATCGTCAGTCCTTTTCCATCGCAGATATTCATTTGATCTCGAACTCTCTTCCTGAGATCTGTTCTGAGATTCAGATCTCAATCCAGACGAAAGTTATTCAGAACCATTATTAGAAGTTACCATTATGTATGCATGCGTTTGCATGAATGTGGATACCGCCCACGGAAGTTTCTCTCTTAATGCCCTCTGTTCCCTGGACTCCCGACAGAATTAAATGAATCTTAAGGTTATTAGAAAATTGCACTGGCGTGTGACATGATGTAACAGGACAAACGTATGTTTACCCATGAATCGAAGGGAGATATTCGCTACAAGTGAGAGTAATGTCGAATGTGTATGTATACACATAACTTTATTTCGGGATTAGACTAGTGAAGTAATCAGGGATCAGGCGTTTCACGGAGTTCTGATATTCGTGCGGAACTGTTCTTTTGTGAGTTCGCTGTGCGATTCATTCCGGTCTTTCGTGATGTGTTCGGAACTTGACGCAGCCTTGGTGTTGAAACCTTGAAACGGTCACCATTACATATGTACAGCCTTTGGGGTTTTAGTTCGCATAAATTTGGTGTTGTGTCGGGAGTGCGGCACCAATTCCAGGATCTTATTTTGATTCTTTGAAACTGAGAATTGAATGGTTTCGTGCTTCAAATGGACAACGGTCTGAACGTTGAGTGAAGGAGAAGGAAAAAAGTGGTTTTTGAGTGAATGAACGATACTTGTGCTACCGTGAGGTACGCTTCAGTTATCTGGTGCTGGTCTTTCGCGTCATTTACCTCTTAGCCGTGCGCGTGATCAGTGTCATTCACTGCTGTGTTTGCATTTTGTATAATTTCCGGTGGCTTCAAATCATTTTTAGTTTTTCTAATTGATTCGCTCAATTCCCTGGCTTGATTCGGAAGATCTTTGAGATAGCTGAGCACTCATTCCGTACTTATTGAAGTACCATGCGCACCTTTTTCTCAAAATTGAAAGGAAAGAAGGGGTGCGCGCCATAGCTGTACATTTCTTGTAAAAGTTTCAAAGGTATAGTCGTGTATTTTATTTGATTCGAATGGAATATTTTGGACTAATTTCAACAGAAAAACTTATTGCAATGGAATTAACAGAAAATTGGTTGAATTCTGGATTAATTCATATCTGAATTCAAATTTGGGTGTTTTTTTCTGAATACGTATTGCAGTTTGAGAGTCACTAAAAATGGGTATGCGCCGTACTCTGGAATGCAATTTTATGGAAAATTCTGACTGAAGAACCCTGGTGCGCGTGGTAAAGTATGAACATTGTGGCAGCAAGTATCTTGAAATAGAGCTCCACTTTCTCTGACCGGGACACGGAAGAAGAAGTCGATTGTAGTGTAATCAGAAATTTGTTCGCTTTGCCTCCCGAGCAAGAAGAAGAAGATGGGTCAACGTGGCACCGGACTGCGTGCTGCAAATTTTTCTTCAATTTGACGCGTTAGATCAGCATCACTTGACGATAATCAAGAAAAAAACGTTTCCGCGAGTGTAGAGCAACTATTTGATGAGTGTTATCTTTGATTGGTACCCCGTTCTAACGTGTTGTGATGCTTCGAATTTTCAGGACTGGTGGTGACGGGAATCTTCGTGGAATCGCTGTCATTGGAGCACCTGAGAAGCTTTGTATTCTACATCGCAGGTGCGATTTGCCTCATCCCGGGTGTTTACCACATGGTCTACATCTTCTGCGCACTTCGCGGCAAACAAGGCTACAACCTCGCTAACCTCCCAGTTTTCAACTGGACCTGAAGACACCAATTTTTGTTGTTGGACGCGATGTTTCGCACTTAGTCATTTTTATTTTTATTTTTGCGCTATTGCAATATGCAGCTCATCGAAATACTGTATTCTCCTTCCCAATGATTTTTAAAATCTAATTTCTGGACACACGATTTCTTATCGGTGCCGCTTCAGTGTGTCAGGTGTGAAAAACTGTTCATATGTTTACGAATGACTACTTAATCCGCTACAAGAACCAACATATAACTCAAATTACTCCAGTACTGTATTCATGGCCCGAGTCCCGGGAAATTTTATTTTAGAATTTATCGACCTATTCTTGTGAAAAATATCGTTTCCGTGTATTTCCCTCGAATGCAGATTCAAGTCTGAATTTCTTGTAATGCTGTGTCTGCTTTTATGTGTTGGGCTGAAGCAGTGCAGCCAAACTCATATGTGGCCAAGGGCCACATCAATACATTTTTTGTGGCAAAGGGCCATATTGCAGAGGTCCCTGCAGGCCCCGTAGCCAATAATGTTTGAGTTTCCAAATTTTCCCCCTTGAAAATGAAAAGTTTCAAATGCATTATTCTGCTGTGCATTGAATTCCAAGCATAGCCTCATGGAAGTTTTGAAGGGCGAGCAGCATACTGCATTCTAAAATTAATATTTGAATGCAAATTTTGCCTGCCAACTTTCTTGAAAATTATAGGGCGCGTGACAGATGAAGTGTCTCTCCGGGCCGGCCGTATGTGAGCAGCGCTGTGCTGAAGTAACGTTCAACCCTAAAATAATTTAAACTAGGAAACATTCCTCTTTTCGCACAATTCCCTGAGCGTGTTGAATGAGTGTTTCATTTGAGAAACTGTTATGCCACCCAAAAGAAGTCTCTCTGTCCCTGGAATTTCTGAATATATTATTTCTTTACTGCTGCTACTTCGGTCAGGATATGAAGCCTTTCTATGGCGAAAGATGACAAATTTTTAAGCCACAGAAAAAAGGCTGAAGGCAGATTTTGCAGTAGAGGACTTATTCAGTGCACAAGGGAATTGCGTGACACACTGAACCTGCACAGTTTTCTGTTAGATGAATCTGACCTTTTTTTGTTGCAGATTTGGTACTTCTTTTTTTAAGAATGCATTAGTGACAGACTGAAGCTGAAATGCTACAATGATGTATTTTAATGAAAATCCGTTGGATTTCACTAAATTTCGGCGATTTCCTGAGCGCTCAGAGAGGGATTGGAGATGTTCAGATATCGTGGTGAACGAGTAAAACTTGGAAAGCATCCGGTTGTTCAGGCGAAGGTCCTTTTGAATCTGTCGGAAATTTGGGTCAGCTGCAGATGCAATAGCTTTTTTTTTTGTTACTAATCGGCACACAGTCGATATGTGATTTTCGGAATACGAAGATTCATTCCTGGATGGTGTGTGCACTGCACTGTGCGACGGAGCCAGATAAGCCGATGTGAGGATTATGTGTCGCTTTTGTGGGTTGTGGCCTCTGTCCTACGTTTTTGTAACTTGAGTTGTGGGCATTTTACTCCAGCGAGTGAAAAGAATATATTTGTGTTTTGTGGATCACGAAAACCTGTTGACAAATTTTTTCTCCACATGTGGAAAGTTGGTTTTTTTGTGGCTCTTTTCTTGTTTGCATGAGTCTTGTTCTGTTTTTGAGTCAGATTTTTCATTGAATTGCGACTACGCGTTGAATTGTGAAGTTTATCAGCTCTTGAGTTGAATTTGAGAGGGGCTCCAAAAAAGTTTGACATGGAACTGTATAAAGTACAGTTTTCTGTTGGCAAATTTGGAAGTGCCAATCAACGAATTATTTTCTGGAAAATTATCAAACTGTTCATTATTCATAAATGTCCTTTTCCTGCAGGAAGGTTCGTAAATTCCCTAGGAGTGATCATGGAGAAGGTAAGTCCAATTGTTTTTTTTTTCATGGAACAGGTGTCCTGAAGTTTCAAATCCCAATTTAACAGCGAAACAGCTTCAAAATTGTGTACAAAAGGAGGATGTTATCTGAAAGGATTTCAAGTTTGGGAGGTTTATATTCATTCAGCATGAGGGGATTGCCTGGGATGTGGAATTTGAGGAGGTTTAACTTGACACAGTTTGACTGCTGCACTTACATGTTCCCCAGAAAATAAGATAGCTTTGAATTACAGTATTTTTCCCCATTGTCCAGACTGTTGAGAACATAAAACAGCTTTTGATGAGTGGAAACCATTTTGAATTGATGTATCTGCTGGTGAAGCCTTCCTGTTGTCTTGTGCTTTTATTTCAATGTCTGGATAACTGAAATAGCTTGTTCAGTAAAATTCCATGGCAACAACTTCTGTTGTAACACACCATGTTGTGATGGATTTTTTCTTGGTCCCAGCATATCCACAGTTTCTCCATAGGGACAATTTTAAACAAATTTTGTAACAACGAACCAATTTTCCTCTATAAATTACATGTAATCTCAGCACCGTGATGTGTGCAGGGGCTGCGGAAATTTTTTCGCATACTATAGGAGAACCAAAATTGAGTAAAATTGAAAAACCTTCAAAAATATGAATGTTGATCTTTTTGTACAGAGAATTTAGCATTGCAGGAAGTATGAAGCTATAATAACTTGTATTTTTTTAATGAAATGAAAGAAAGAAAAGGTTTGAAAAAAGAGAATTTGATTTCACAGTTTGATGTTATTTTTATTATTTCATTTGAAGGGGCCATAAATGTTGATACTTCTTCATGTAATTGTTGTGGAAGTTTTTTCTAGAATTTTTTGACTTATTCCCCATGAAAGTCAAGTCCTACATGCTCAGTTTATGAACCAGGAATGACATTGCAAATTTTTTGTATGAAAAATTTGTTCTTAGGTCCCTTTATTGGAGTTTGTTGTAACCAGATTTTACTGTACTATAATCTTTTTGGTATATTGTGGTACATTCATCAAAGTTGGTACAGTATTTGATAGCAGTGTGCCCTAACCTTCCATTGCCAGCCAACCTGTGCCAGTAAATTTTTTGCCAGCCCATGATAAAGTTTCTGTTGCATATTAAATGTATCAAAATATAGCAATAAAGTCTCATCTTTATCTGAAATTTTTGAAAGACAATGGCAGTTGAAATTATCTGATGAACAAATAAAAGTTGGCTTTTCTCCTAACCTTGTCCAACACACTTTTGCCTGCTGATATAATTTATTTTATTTTTTAATTCTTCAAAACCTGTTGTCAAGCCCACTTTTTTAAATTTAAAAAAATTTCACTACAGCTGCTTCATTTAGTTCTAATTTTTAGCAAAAAAGCAGGAACTTTTAAATACCTGCCATGAAGTCTTCCAAGCAAAACTTTCTTGAGTCTGCACAAGTTTTATGAAATTTTGCCAGTCTGCAGAAAATCTTGGGAGACTTTGCCAGTCTGGGAATTTTTGTTGTTGCAAATTTAAGGGTCCGCAGGCCTAACACAAATTAGGGAACGTTTTTCTTGAGTGTTTATCAAGCACTGAGTGACCTCATAATTTATTTCATCTTGATTATTTGGATGGAATTTCATCAAGTTAAGTATGCGAACATACGGTGGTTTTTCGAATTACTGTAATCCCTTCTGATAAGTTTCAACTCTGCATGGGCAACATTTTTATGTGATTCCCCAGGACGACCGCCAGAAAGATTGTTGGATGATCACACCTCTCATTTCAGTGCTATTTACTCTCGTGTTGCCGAAGGTTCTTTCGTGATGCTAATGATGAGTGAGCGAAGAACAGAGGCTGAAACATAACTGCCAACCCAGCTGTGGTGATCTGAAGTTCGTCCCTACACTTCCAAGATGATGGTATGTCGTGCGGTACAAGTAAAATTTGGTAATGAGGCTGGTGTGACGACCTGCCAAATGGCATATTCCCGTCAGCCCTTCCTAATCTGAACGTTCTCTCTTCAATCTCTCGCGGGTATGCGAGAGATGACGCTTACTTTTAATATTTGCTTCGTTTTTTTTTCTGTTTTCCCAAACAAGGATAGTGACAATACATGATGAAATAAAGAAAAGGGAAACCTCTTATATTTGTCTTTGTATTCCGTCAGGCCGGGTGAGCCAGTCTTTGCTCCCAAAAGCGTGACAGTGGTTTCTCAAGGAACAAACGCGGTAAGCAGCGAACTTTTAGGAAAACAAAATAGGAAGCAGCTTACCTTTGGCTTTAAGCGATGAACTTGACTTGAGGAACAAACCTCTAGGCAAAAAAAAAGGAAAAAATTAATGCAAACATTTCACAACATTTCAATTGTGAATCAAGATTTCATTTTATGGGAGAATTTCAAGGGATTTGTAGGCAAATTTTGATTTAAATTCTATTTCAATGCCTTTTCTGCTCCCAGTTAACATATACAGTACCAGTACAGTATATTAAAAGTAATATTTAAATTGAAATTATTATAAGTTGCTCTTTTCTTCTGTGTATTGGTCATGTTTTTTAAAACTTCTTCAGTTTGGCTGGAATGAAGTGAGACCCCCAGATGCAGACATAATTGGTGCATCAAGAGTGTCCCTAAGTCAAGTCTTGTTTCCCATAGATGTCGGGTCGAAAACCAGCGCCAGGCCAAGGTGCTGTGTGGCGCCAGCAGGATAGAGTTCTGCCCACGCCACAGTTTACGTGGTGGGACGCTCTGCGCCCCAAAGGAAAACGCACGTGGCCGGGTGCGCTACAATGTGCTCCGAAGCAACTTTTTGGCCAGGAAGGGGCAACTTTGGCAGAGTGGTAAACCTGCCTGAAAACGGGATTTAGCCAGGGTCAACTAGGTTGCCCTTGGCTCAATCCCAGGGTTATTCTGGTCTGTCTAAAAGGGCTGTGTATTATGCACAGTCAGTCAGTATTCTATCAGCCTTTGATCTGGCTTCACTCAGTCTTTACTCAGTCTTAGTCTAACTGCAGTCAGCAGTCCTTTCCTATCCTGTTGTCTGTGTT